CGTGACAGCCGGTGCAGGGACTCGGGCGCGCGCCGCCGGCCCGGCCTCGCCGTTGGTTTTGTCCTGCAGCCTGAGTGACCGTCCCAGCCCACGGCCATTAGGCGGACGGGCCGAGGGAGGAGGACGGTGAGGGCTCACGAGGCCCCAACTCCGGGTTAGCGGTAAAACGGATGAAATGACACACCCGGCAGCTTCGGGGGACCCTCGTCTTCCCGGGCAGGGGCGGGGTTCAGAGGGCGGCACAGGGGATCGGCGTCACTCGAGGAGCATCACAAACCCTGCGGCCGTCCAAACCCGACCCTCGGCCCCTCAGCCATTGGCCTCCCTGTCCGCTGGCACCTCCTCCGCGCGCGCTGCTGCTGCTGCGACTCTGTGCCTGCTGCCCGCCTTCGCGCGTCACCCCGCCACGCGAGCCCTTCCCCGGGAGCCAGGACCGAGCCCAGATGCACGCAACACAGACGACTCTGCGCCGGCAACGGCCCAGGCGACGTTAAGAGCTGAGCTGCCTTTCGTTTTTTCACGTGCGTACATGTCAACTGTGTCTTCTGAAACACTATCTTAAATATACACTGCTGTGACCAAGCCGTGGACGTCTGTAATCAGCCTGCCGGCTACTTTATTTCCTTGAGGACTGTGACTGCATGTTTCACATAGATACATAGACTCTGATAGCACGAGGGCAGAGGACACCTTACCTGTGGCTGGAACTGAGGAACAGGTGGCCCTTGCATCCCTTGTGACTGTTCATCCATCGTCTGAGGGACAGGGACGTTAGAACTCTGCAGAAAAGGGAAGTTGACACGTAAGTAACGTGATCATGACCAATTCACGCTGCTCTGCACGGGCCGCTTGCACTGGATTTACCTAACGCTTCCAGAGGGCCCACTGGGACAGGCCTGTCCTCACACCCGCCACTGCCAGACCCCAGCTCTGGTCACCTAACCTGATGCTGACCACCACGACGGCCTCCACTCTCCACGGCAACAAGCCCCATTCCGCGAGATAAAATTCCCTCTTCTCCAGGATGCCTGTCCATCAAAGAGGCCTCCCCTCCCCTCCCCTCCCACGGTGAGATCGCCTGGCAGGCGGCTTCCAGAACCATCCCTAGCACGCACAGCGTCTCTCACCAAAACACAGAGCTCACCTGTTCTATGTGTCCAACCACAATGCCCGCTATGACTTACGTTTAAACTTACAAGGCCAGTCTTCACGTGAAGGTATTTATTATTTTACACATACTTGGCCTGTGATTAGAAAACATTCGTGCCATGAATTCTTGACACAGGCTGAAGATCAGCCACGCGCCAGGCCCCGCGCAGGACGCCAGAGCCCTTTTCCCACACCACACCCACCGTGTCTAGTCTTTTTGTTTTCTCCTGTGGTCGTTTTATTATTATTATTTTGTAGCTATTGACGAAACAGTGTGGCAGCAAGATTACATCAGGAATGCGACATAATATAACTGTCTTCCCTGAAGCGTCGTCCCTTGCTACCGCCTCGGCTATTTGGGGGCGCCCCCTGCACAAAAACATAACTGTGATGCCTCTACTGCTTCTCCCAATACATACGAAAATACTGCACTCCATTCAAGGGGCTATTTTACGATAGAATTAGCGTGCACTAGAAGACGTCCTCAGAGGTCTGATTTGGCAGGAATAGTCTTTTACTGCTTCATCCGGGGCATTTTCAAATGAAACTCGCTTATTTCCTCTGCCGCAGCTGCCAAGACTAGAAAGACTGGTACCGTTTGGTGTCACTGCAGTGATTCAAGCTGAGGCGCCCGTGGTTTCATAAATAATGTTTAGTATTATTCTAAAATTGTCTCCATCTTGCAGGCCACATTAAGGGGTCTCAAGGACCCCACCCAACGTTTTGATCTAGTCAGAAACCCCGATTCACCCTTTACCCTCAACTCCTTGCTCCCTATCCCATACCTTGGTAAGTGCCATTTTTCTATGTCCCAACACATCTCAAGTTCATCCACGGTCCTCCATCACCACTCATACGACCTACAGCAGGTGTCACTGTGTCTCCACTGAGGCCTTACTATAACAGCCCACAGACTGGTCTCTCTTTTTCCACCGTTCTGTTCTATTTGAAAAACATCAATCAACTCATGACCGCCTCAGGGCTCCCGGACTAAAATCCCGCCTCTCTGCCAAATGCCGCAGGCCCCTGGAAATGACGCCCACCGCCTCTGCCAGGTGAGCTCCGCCAGGTGAGCTCTGCCCGGCCGCTGACGCCAGGCCCCTTCACTTCCGGGAGCCTGCTAAGCCCTGGCTGGCATCAGGCCCTGCACTGCTGTCCCCCTGCCATCCCCAGAACCCGGATCCTGGCTCCGACTCTGGACTCTGGCTCAAGACCCTGGCTCAGGACCAGCCCCAACCACGCCCCCAGGTGGTGCTCGTCCCCGCCCCCTTACACAACATTCACAAGGTCACGCTTCCATTCCTGGGAGGCCACAATAACAGTTCGGAGTTGTCTTTTAATTGTTCGTTGTCTATCTCCGCTACTGCAATGCAAGTGACAGGAAGGCTGTATTCCCGGAAGCGCCTGGCACATAATGGCCCACAGTAAACATCTGCTGAAGGCATGAGAAGCAAATGGGAATGAGGGCCGAGGGCAGATCGTAGAGTTGTTTCTGGTTAAGCTTAGGACTTGTAACTGCTTAGATATGGTTGGCGACAGAAAAGGACCGTTAAAGATGCCAGGAACATCGCCTTCGGCTTTAGAGACACAGAACGTGGTGGTAGCACCAGCCAAACTAGGCGACAGAGGAGAAATCGAAACAGGATGGGTGTTAGGAAGGGCAAGAGACAGGTCAGTTCTCACAGGAAAACTAACCGTGAATTATCAGCAGAAAGGCCACGGACGCAAAGTTTATCGTGGCTAAAATTTGCCCCAAAGTGGAATTTTTGGGGAAGGGATGAGTTCAAACCTTATCATGTAATTCTCATACCGATGAGTTGTTGATTAGTGAAAGCTTTTTGACGTGTTTGAAACTTCTCTTAAACACATTACAGTCCCCCCAAAATTGTTCAAATATCACAAATACTTTCACAAAGTCACAAATTCAGTACACGCTAAAAACGATCTTCCCTGTTCTTAGAGCCACATATTTTGCAGAAAATAAAACTATAAACTTAGGAATTGGAATTTCAGATGTAAAAGCTAACTCAATGAAAAGAAACTATTTGGTTGAAAGGAACTGTGTCAGTGGGCTAAATTTTCAGTATTCGTATGACCCCGGAAAAAAAATGTATTAAATAAAACACAATATACTGTATATGTTATAAATAATAATATAGTCCTCTGTGACTGTATATATTATAAATGATAATTTAGTTCTCTTATTCTGAGCACTGAGCCAGCATTACAGCACCATGCTTTTACACACCTTCGCCTTTCCTAGTTGCCATATTTTAATAAATTTATAAAATTTCTAAAGCTAACATTAAGATCATTATAAGCAAATTAATCATGCCAGATGTATACTTTCTCCTAAATATTATTTGAATCAAACAACCAAAGTCAACGAATTCACCTTAGATAATATTTTAATCAAAATAAGGAGCTTATTCTACGCTATAGATATCTTCGGTGAATTTTGCCTTTAAAATTTTAGCATTTTGCAGAAACTGACTTAAAATAAACCAACATGCATTTCAAAACACTAACCTGATTCTTTGTCAATTATAATATATAGTATTAAAACTTACATAATGAAGTAAAAAAAGATGAGGCTTAAATATACATTTTTAAGAAAATCATTTGCTACATTTTATTTGTGATCCTGATTTTTTGTCAGAAAAAAATCACATAAATATAACTGGCCATCAGGCAAAAACATTTTAAAATGATAGTTGCTATTCAACAATGCTTAGCAAAAGAAAAATATTTCCTTCATTATACAACGAAAATCACTTAACAATAAAGACACAAAGGCCAATCTTTCAAATTCAACTTCTAACTTATGTTAAAGCTTAGCGTAAACCCTATTTGACCAGCGAAGGGTACGTAGAGATTCTACTCGTTTAAAAATACTCTCTCTTTCTGTTTCCAGACATACATTTCTATCACCCCATCATGCTATCCAGTTTCTCTGTAACCGGTTCTTGACACAACATGAAACCTCAGATATGAAACTTATGTACATACCAAACTGAAAAGAGATTGTGGATAAGTGGTTTTAGAAGTTTTTCTTCTCCTGACTTTTTATTAAAGAGTTGAAGTACACTACTTTGCACTTATTTAATAGTTTCCTTCACTTGAAAGGAAACTGCCCTTCAATCGGCAAGGTTATTCATAAGACCAATAGTGACATGGAACATTTAAATATTCTATGAGAACATATTTGTACGATATGTTTCATTGGCCAAAATAGCTACGACTTATGCATAACAGTAAAGAATAACAGACGTATTAAAATAGCAATGCTACTCTCATCCATAAAGAAGTCAGTTGTTGGCTTAACACTATGTATATGTGACACCTAAGAACTGAAAGGGTACCATGGAAATTTTAGGCTGACCGATACTTGGCAGAGTTTAAATTCTCAAATCCAGAACTAAATATTGTTCTTGGCCCCG